CTCGGAGCTCGTGAAGCATATACAATTGCTGAAATATGCGAAACCTCCACCCACGCTGAAAAGTATCCTCCACGATCTGTACAGGTACAGGGGCTGGGGTAAGTAATGCTCATTAAAATCGTTTTAAAATACATTTCAAATATGACTCGAATCTATACCTCAGGTTTCGCTTGCACCTTATGGATAATGGGTTTTAATGGATCCTAAGGAGGCTAATGGTTTCGAAGCACTCTTCAGTAATGAAGAAAGTAGTTTTAAGAAATAAATGTACACCAATCCCAGATACCGTAAGCATGTGGAAGTTATTATGCCATGGCTGAAACATCGTGGGTCTCTGGAATAGACAAAATATTGTAAATATATGTAAATAGAAACTGGTAGAAGTTCTTTTATACAATGCACACCATTTTAGATAAGAGGAACACGATGTTTTGTCAATAGAAATGCCATAGAAGAGATAAAAAATTACCTGAACGGAAAAGATCATATTATCAACAAGACATCTATAGCCATTTATATTTTATACATACATTAAAATTCAGAGCTATATTAATCAAGTTTTGCGTTCAATTTTCATTTTGTCCTGGCCAGTTACGTATGTATAAAACGTAACAAATTGTAAAATGCTTATCTTTTGGATGATGACTTTAACAAATCTAAGCTCTAGCCACTAATTAAAGTTTTTTTTGTGCCTAGTCACAATGAGAATATAAAGCTTTCAGACAATCTTGTCGTCTGTCTTGTTTGATAATGTTTATCGCTAATAGCAGAAATAATTTCTCAAGACCATTTAAATGGTTGCGCTAGAGTGCAGCCCACATCACTAAGAGTGTATCTCTCAAAGCGAAATAAACAGCACAGTGAACAGTTCTGACAAAATATGCCGCCACAGACCAAGGATGAAGACCCGTGCACGGAATCCATTTTATTTCCGGAATGGGTGAAGCCAGAAATCTTTCAGGATATTTTAAAACTGCAGGTTAAGAATTACAAGGAAACAAAGTCCTTGAGAGCCAGCGCAGGTGTTGCCAAGGGGGAGAACTATGCCACAATAATGTTGAGGGTTGAGTTGGATGTAGAAACAGAAGGTACTCTTTAGATTTAATCTGCTTAGATTGATTAAATAACATATCTTTGTGTAAATTCTAGATAAATCACAGGTAACAAAGGCCTATATGCTGAAGATAGCCCACGATTCAGACGCTTATCGAAAGATCTTAGAAAAATCGAACATATTCGATACAGAGCGGGGAATGTACTTGAAAATAGTGCCCGAAATGGAGAAAATGTATCGCGATGTTGGTCTCGAGGTGAAGTTCGGGGCACAGTCTTACGAGATCCCTACCAACGAAAACTATGTCCTGCTGGAAGACCTGAAGCCCCAAGGGTTCAAGAATGTCGATCGTCTACAGGGGTTGGATCAAGTCCACACCGAAAGCGCTCTGCGCAAATTCGCTCAGTGGCATGCCGCATCGGCAGTCCGTGTGGATACCAAGGGGCCCTACGAGGAGAGGTACACAAAAGGATTCTTCCAGAGCCCAGAAATCGTTGATGCCTTGTTTAAAGGCAGCATGAAGTCGCTGCTGAAGTACATAGAGCACTATGAGGGACGCGAAACATACTTAAAAGATTTGGTAGGCCGAATATCAAAGTAAATTTCAATGAATATCTTATTAACTTATCCAAAAATGTCTCTACAGCTCAGTATCTCGGAAAAGCTGGATGATATAGCGACTAAAATAATCGAATCGAATCCTGATGAGTTCAATGCCCTGAACCATGGCGATGGTTGGTGCAATAACATCATGTATCAGTACAACGAGAAAAATGAGATATCGAACACATATTTCGTGGATCTTCAACTACCGAAGTGGGGATCAGTGGCACAGGTAAATATTCGACTCTTATTCCATCGCAATTGCCAGCTAATCATCTTATTTATCTCAGGATTTGTACTACTTTCTCATATCGTCAACAAGTTTGGACATAAAAACATCAAAATTTGATTACTTCATTTGGTTCTATCATTCGGAACTCGTTAAGCATCTCCAATTGCTGAAATATTCGAAGCCTCTGCCCACGCTGAGAGGCATCCGTAATGATCTGTCCAATCACAGTGGTTGGGGTGAGTAATTCTATCCTAATATCCCATTAGCAATCTTAATTATAATCATAAATCTATTAGGTTTAGTGTGCTGCACATCTGTAATGGGAGTTGTTTTACTGGATCCAATAGAGGATGATGATGGTGATTTCGATCAAATCCTTAGCAGTGAAGACAGTAGCTTCAAGAAATCCATTTTCACCAATCCCAGATACCGAAAGCATGCAAAGGTCCTTTTGCCTTGGCTGCAGCATCGTGGCGCCATGGAATAGTATTAATCAGAGTTATGCATAGGCTCTCAGTAAACGACAAAGCTCAAGTTTCTATGAGGTTCGAAAGATTACAATAAGTGACATCCTTGTACCTATATTTTATGATATGATAGTAATTAAATACACTTCTGCTAATCGAAAGCCCAAACATGTCATCCAATTTTTTGGGAGAGGAATAAAAACGAG